TTAATCCCTTGCGAGAGGCATTTGAACACAAAACCAATTCTGTGTTTTTTTTCACTGTGTGAAATTCGTCATTAAACCAATCCGAGGCAGCAGCCTCCAGGCGCCCCTGCGTCCGCCATCTTTACCGGTCGCGCGTTACCCGGCGCTACTCACTACGGGGCGGTGCAGGCGGCGGCGCAGGGGCCGCTGGGAGCGCGGCGTTGCCCAATAGGAGCTGCGCGGCGCGGCTCGGCCTGCGCCTGGTGCTGGCGGGCGGGTGAGGCGGCAGGGCTGGGCCGGGATGGGGCTGGGACAGGGCTTGGGGGGGGGGGAGCGGGGGGAGCGGGCGGAGGCCCCGAGCTGGGGCAGGGCTGAGCCCGGGCTCGTCAGGCGGCGGGCGGGCCCGTGATTTGAGGGGTTTGTGCCCAAGGGAGGCAGCCGCTTCGGTGCGGGTACGGAGGACAGCCTCCCGTCGGGGCCCTGCCTGGCCTCGCTTCGCCCGGGCGCCGGTGTGCGGCGGGCTGCGGGCGGTGTGCTCGTGAGGGGACTCTGGGGGCGGGCGTCGGGTCCTGGCACGCACCGCTGCCTCTCGTTGTGCGGGAGGCTCGGGGCCGGCTCGGAGCTGCTGGAGCGTCGCGTTATGTCTCGGTGCCGGTCCCATCGAGTTCGTTCAGAAAGAGAAGGATGCGGGCAACGAATTTTCCTCAGAACGTACCCGTATCCTTAAGCAGCTCGCTGGTCCTCTAATTCCCCTTTCTGTTCTGGTTTCCTGCACAGAGTTATGGATCCAAGCTTACTGAGGGAGCGAGAGCTGTTCCGAAAGCATGCCCTCTCCACGCCTGCGGTGGAGAAACGGCCGGCGTCATCCGCTGAATCCTCGAGCTCAAAAAAGAAGAAAGTAAAGGTAGAGCAGGGTGGCCCATCGAGCTCAAAACAGAGCTCAGGTTGGTAACAGTGCCCTGCTCAACAGTTGGTTGCTGTTTGCCACTGTCTGCTTGTGCGTTTGTTGGCATGAAATGGCTTGTCCAGCCATTTCATAACCTTGTTAGCTGTAGTCTTTCTGAAATTGTCTCTTTTTACTAAGAAATACAGTGCATGATGTGAAAGAATACTTCTGTCTGCAAGGTCAGACATCATTCAGTGACTTGCTTGCTGTTACTCAGTTGGAGGAACTGTTACTGACAAAACATTACTTTGTAGGCAGCTGGATTTTGCTTGGTGAATGTCAGTAAATGCTGGTGAGAGGATGCTGAAAACTGATTATCAGCTGAAAGTCGTAGACTGCTGTGAGATGAATCTTGTTATCTGTCATGTCTGGCTGGTGCATAGTGGTTAGCAGTTCTCCTTTTACCTGGGAGCTAATTTCTGTTCATGAACAGTAGGGGTCCCATAGAGTTGTTTTCTGCCTTAGTCGGGAATTCCATTGTTTCCTTGCAGTGGTGGCACAGCTGGCAGCATACCTCTTAAAATGAAGAAAGTAGTTCTTAAGAGCACTGCCAGGATTAGTAATAGCAAATGAGAAGTGCAGTACAGAGAGGATTCGTGTGCACATGGTGCTCTACTCTCTACAGTTTCCCTTTCTAGGGTGGGTAACTTGGGGTCATTATGAGTAGCTCTGCAAACCTTGACTTAGTACTCTGTTGTGCTGTAAAGAGCAAACATCAGAAATTACTAAAATACAAAATAATGCTATTGTGTAAGCACATCGCATGCTTGCATTTTGAGTGCCATGTGCAACTCTTCTAAACTTTAAAAAAAAAAAAAAAACCACAACAAAACAATGGAACTAATAACAGCAGAGAAAAATCACAGAAGTTTGGAAAACACCTCTGAAATCATCTAATTCAGCTATCCACCTACTACCAATGCTGCCCACTAAACCATGCTCTTTAGTGCCACCTCTGCATGTTTCTTGAACAGCTTCAGGCTCGGTGATTTCCACCACCTCCCTGAGCAGTGCCCAACCACTCCTTAGCAGAACTTTTCCTAATACCCAGGCTGAACCTCCCCTGGCACAACTTGAGGCCATTCCTTCTCTTCCTCTCGCTAGTTAAAATACCAAGGGTAATGGGAGGAGCACAGCATCTCCTGTATGAGGGAAGAATAGGGAGCTTGTGTATTTTCAGTTTCTCAGAGCCTTAAGGACAGACACCAAATGATTTTATCAGCCAGATATTTTAAAATAAATCAGAAGAGGTGAGATTTCTATTTGCCACTTTTGCCATGCTGTCCTCCAGAAAAAATCCATGGGATATCTTAGTATGCACTTCCTGAGTGAGAAGGGTTTACAGGGAAGGAGCAATGGACATACAGTTCATGTGTGATTGTTCTGGAGGATTTGAGTAGCTATGTGAGCAAGTGACTGAGTAAAGAGTGTGATTTCTTGTTTTGTGGGGTAGGTTTTTGGTGGTTTTGAACATGAGAATGCATGACTGTGAGGAGATATGCTTTATCTTTAATGGTGCTGGCTTTGTTTCATACAATATCAGACAGCTTTCAGGATTTTTATAATATTTTTATGCAAAGTGAGTACAGTCTCCTTTTTTCCCTGTATTTATGAACTACTGCAGAATCATCAAGGGTTGAAGAAGAGTAACAAAGAGCGAATCAGCTTTTCTCTCCTTAGGAATTGGCTCAGACCAGGTGTGCAGAAAGCCAAATGACAGAAGGGGTCAAGCAGCCATGGACACCACAGTTTCCCCGTGATGCTGCAGGGTCCAAGTCCTGTGCCTCAAAACCCAGTTTTTGTTTGAATTGTCAGATTCCTAGGTACCTGTCAGGATATGTGCATGGCACAGAGAGATCTTGGGGAGACGGAGTAAAAAGTGATGTTGAAGAATTCCCAGCCCCCTTTACCTTGAGAGAAGTGAAAACTAGGAGAATTATTCCTCACTCTGTTGTGTAGTGACCATAAAAATAATAATTAATGTTCCAGTAAACGTATGTGAGCACAAGTAACCTTTGGTTCTGCAGAGCCTCCAAATCCCCCATCATTTTTTTATTCTGATTCTGAGAACTTGCCTTTAGCTCTTGTTTGGGGAGGTGGGGCATAGAGATCATGCTAATCCTGAAAGAACCACACAGCTGAACATAGCTTGCATCTGAAGATTCCTTGTGAGATTTCCATTGAGAACAGTTGTCACTGTTGCCTAAAAACTATTGTTTGAACAAGCTAGCTGACCAAGTTGAAGAGTGCCTTGTTTACTCACTCCAGAGTAGCAGTGAGAAAATAAACGTAAAGGATCATATCTTTTCATTTCTTTTTATTGATCAAGTCTTTACCTTGAAATCTTTGTCTCGGTGGTCTTGGTCAGCAAGAGCTGAAATCTCTGGAAGCTTATTCCACAGCTTTGCTTTATGTGAGGAAAAGAATTCTCCTGAGGCTCTGGAGCTGTGCAAGAGGAGTTTCTTCTCAGTTCCTTGTTTGCTGCCTCCTATATAAACCCATGAGTAGCTGGAGAGAGTCCTAAGACTTACTGTTGTGTGTGCTTCTCAGGAAGGTGTGAGAACACAAATCCAGTGTCACAGAAGCTAGTGTTATTTCCCACGTGCTGCCTTCTCCTGTCCAGTCTCTGAGGACTGACTATGAAATACAGTAGAAGGTAATGAGATGTCTCCCTGGTCCAGAACGCAGCAGTGACATCATCTTCACATGTCCTGCTTTGCATCCTCAATTGTCTTGTACAAGTGTCCTGAAGTGTCTTGGGACACTTGATTCCATTGGTTGTGCTTATAGGTCAACTTCAGTTAAGAGCATTCTATGCATATTAGACTCATGCTGGCAAGGCTTAACGGTAGTAACTGTGTAGAAGATGAAAGTTTGCAGTGGTAAATGTGTTGGTTTGTGACTGAAGGAAGGAGATGGCTTTTCTGGATGAACCATTGGAATTTTTTGGGTAGTGGTGGCCTGGGTCTTATTCCGTCTTACTGACCAGAAAGAGCATGAGTTGAATTGGTGAGCCTTTTGGTGTATGTGTGTGTCCAAACCTTTTGGAGCTTAGGGATGCTAACCCTGAGAGTGGGAGTTGGTGTAGTAAAAAAAAAAAAAAAAGAAAGAAAAAAAGATGAAAGGTAGTGTTGATGGTACTGAGGTATTTCTGATGGGGATAAGGCAGCAGGAGCTTACTCATTTGTAGGTTTTGCTTCTCTAATGTGAAGAGCATTATTTATGTAATTAACTCTCTTGTCCCACATGTAGCTTCAGTCTGGTTGGGATGTTTCCTGCTGGCCTGTTCCTCTCTGTGTCCAGCAGCAAGACAGAGACTTAACAGGCTGTACTGAAGGCTGTGCTGTTGATTGTTGCTATTACAGCTGTAATTTGTAAAACCAAAACTTTACTGTTTGAAAACCTATAGATGCAACACAGTACAGAGGAATGATGTGGTAAGTTACAGGTAAAAGCTGATAGTCCGAGTTTTATGTGTTCAGCTTGTGAGAGAGCTGAGAGGGTGAATTCTGGAATGTATCTGCAGGCTGATGAAGTGAGCTGAAGTTCAGTTGTGCAAAACAAAGTCGCATCTTGCTGTGCATCCATTCCAGTGTCTCTTATGCTAGGCTTATCATGATGCGGCCTCCTTTGTGAAGCATATCAACACCTGGAAACTGTGTGCTGGCTGGGAGAAATTATTGTCACTGCTCTGGGAAGATTGCAGTCTGTCAGCTTGTGTTTTGGCAAGAACTCTGTCAGCTGTAGTTCAGCTTTGAGAAGATGAGATAGGAATAAGATCATCAATATGTTGGATTCCCTGTAGTGTCATAGTTGGCACAGAGGCAGCAGCCTTGGGACAGAAAGATGACCCTGCTTCTTCTAGACCATGATCCCACTTCAGTGTGCTTTTGTGTAAGCAGTAAGATAGTCTTAAGGTAGTGCAGTAGTCATGTCTCAACTCAAAAGACATTAAACAGGTTGAAAATGAAGTAAGGGGAATGTGGTTCTCTGGAATGGGAGAAAGGAGGAAGAAGAGGTCAAATTATATTGTAGGAGGTTAGAAAAGGCTATTTTAAGGATGGATTTCATCCTGGCTTGCTTCCCTCCCACCACCTATTTTCTTTAAGTGGTGAACCCGTAGTAAGAACAACTGCTGAAGGCAAAAATTCACACAAGGCTCTCATGGCATCTCTTGCCTTTAAATCATTGTCTTTCATCTGTTTTTCCTTAATCCTTTATGTCTGTCTTGTCCCTGTGTGATTCACCACAGTGAGAGAACAGTGCGCTATCATTGTGCTCTGTAGAATTGGATTGTTGAGCATCTTTCTAAGTGTTTTCTCTGGCTAAGCAACATAGTTTTGTTCACGTTCAGCAACACTGTTTGTTCAGGCAGTCAAACATCTACTCTAGTAACTCAATATGAACAACAAAAAATGATTTAAAAACAAACAACTTTTCTTCCCCCATAACAACGGAACAGATAATCCTTCAGCTAAGTGCCCAGAAAGCCAACTGTTTAAGTTCACAGCTGGAGATGCAGTTGTAGCAGTTATCATTCTATTTAAGTCCAAAAAAAACAAAAACAAAAACAAAAACCCCCAAAAAAGCATGTAACTCATTCGTCCATAAGGTACAAGTGGTTTGTTCAAGGTGTTACATGGTCTCCACGTGCTGATGATCAGCCTTTCTTAAACCACCTCAGTTTCACGCTTTCTGAAGCTGTTCAGCATTGCTCTAACAAGGTTGGGTTCATTCTCCAGGTCTTTCACAGTTTTGTTTTTCACACAGCAGCAGCAGTCTAGCATTTCATAGAGGAAAGCCAGCACCACCAGAGAAACTACAGTAAAGATGAATATGATCAGAATAACAAAGCAGGCAGTGTTCCAGTTATCGTGAAAAGGGTAGATTTTTTGCACTTGAAAGCCCAAGTACTGGTAAATAGATGTTGTCTCGTTCCAGTGAGTGGCGTTGAGAGTTGCCATCCTTGAAGAGTTGTCTTAGTGTATTCCCTGTCACAGATCTGGGGGCTGAAACAGAAAAACAAAGCTGTTGGGGATTCTGTTATCAAGAACATGCTGTGTTTTGTTGTTTGTTTTTTTTTTTAATCCTAAATTAGAAAAACTTTATCTCAGACTGTTCTTGCACCTCCTACAAAAATACAATGCTGAATACACATACTTGCTCTCAAAGTATCAAACCAAAAGGTGCAACTTGGCAGTTTGTCTGGAATGCTGATTACTGTTCCCTGATGTATGAAGCAGCATCAGTTATTCCAGACTTTAGCAGTTCATTTTACAAGTACATGTGAAGACAAGAAGGTTACTGTTTTCTGGATGTGCGGGGGTTTCAACAGCCTGTGTCCATACTGTTGACTTGTAGATTTGAAAGCAGTGCTTAGAACTTTCTCATTGTCATTTGAGTTTGCGTGCTTTTTTGTGTGCTTTTTTCCTCTATTGACATCCAATAAATTCTTTTTTAAAAAAGAAGTGTAAATTGTAACTGTCTTGGAGGATTTTTCCAAAGAACAAAGCTCAGCTTTTCATTGTTCTTCACATTCACAAAAACAATCCTGGTTTCTGAAAACGTCTTATTCTGGATTTGCCTATTAGTACTGACTTGTTAACACTACAAAACCTTCCCAACCTAAACAAACAAACAAACAAAAACAAAACAAAAAAACCCTCACAATATTTCCTGAGGTGTTCCCCAGTTGTTCTTTCTGCTGATATGAAATTTCAGCTTGAGAAATGTAGCTGCCTCATTCAGCTGCCTCTAATTCTGAGTATGTTCCATAGAATCGCAGAATATCCCGAGCTGGAAGGGACCCCTAAAGGTCATTGAAGCCTTTGTGGAGCCAGCAGTTGGATCACACAAACATCTGTGCTGTGTTCAGGTGGAAGGAACACCCAGCCTTCTGAGATCTGCCGCCTTGTTTTCAGTCACCTTCTCCACTTAACTCATCCCTTATCCAGTGCTGCCTGTTTGTACCAACAGGAGGCAAGACTGCAGTGTGGGAGGAAGAAAGTGAGAAGCTGGCTTCAGCAGATGCGCCTTTGGCATGAGTCATATTGCTGTAAAGATGGTCTGTTTCAGAAAGGCCATTGCTAGGAAATGTGAAAGTAAGCAGTGTCTCAGTAATTGCTGCAGTTTATCTAGAACAAAAAGCAGTTTTGTCTGTCTCTGTATTTCTCTGCATTACAGCAGATGAGATGTTTGGCAATAGCATCTTTACAGTTGGGAGCCTTTCCCCAGTTTCTTTCTTTCCCTGGCTTTGTCTCCCAAAACAGAAGGATCTTATAGTACTTTAGATATATTTTTATTACTTTAAGACTTTATATCAAAAGAGCTACACTAACTTGTGTTTATTTGGCTTAGCCACTGGAAGATGAGGTATTAATCTTTGAGTCCTTCCACCAGTTTAAAACCAAGTGTGGGAGAAGGACATAGACTCGGATGACTGTATTCTGTTGAGAAGGTAGCAAGTTTTTGGGTGCAGCGCGGTGCTGAGCAGTACCTGGGATGCCAGCCCCCTGCCTGGTGTGTAGACTCCTTGGTCGGCGTGTGCCAGTTAGCAGACAGCTCCCAAAATACACTTTTGTCTGTTCTGGTGCTGTAGAAAACATGGGATTGTGGAAGGGGGGAGAGCTAAGAAAGTGTTGACGGTGTGGAAACCCGGAGTTATATTTCCCTGTCTTAATAAATGAAAGATTTTTGCTTTCAGAATGAAGCAAAAAGTGGGGATTTTCCTACATTCATTGAAAAATAGTCCTGGCAATCTACACATGGTAAATTCAGTAATTAAAACTGCGGAATAAAGGGTCAATGTTTTGTTCATTAAACTGAGCCCGTAGATAATGCTGTAACAAACCTTACAGACATACTTCTGTAGTCAGCCTGGTGAGGAAGTGAAAACTTGAAAATGTCTGAAAGAGCAAGAAGTGGCAAAAGAGAACTGAGATGGTGTCTACTGAAATGGGTTCCTTTAATTCAGTTAAATTGCTTGTCGTTATTTCTGTGTCATTATTGATAAAGAAAGGCGTATTAATGAAAACCAGGATGGTGCAGCCAGGTCAGCTTGTGACGTACATCTTGCTGTAATCATTTAACAGTTACACACTTGGCTCTTTATTTTTCCATCTTTGCTGGATCTAATTGAAACAGATCAGCGTTGCTGTTGAGAGGGAGCCCTATCTCTAGCATGTGACAGGCATTTATTGGAGGAATTGCAGCACCTCACCCGCTGTTTCCTCTTTTAACTTTGCAGTTGAGGCTGTAGGGCTGGGGCAGGTAGGCATCAGCTGCTGCTCACTGTAATTACCAGTGTGCAAAGCTGGAGGAGCCATTGCCGAGCCATTCGAATTAGTGCAGCACTAATGAGGGTAGCATCTTTGAAAGCTGTCAAAAAATAGGCTGGTCTCACATGGGTTTCCTTCTGTTGTAATGGCACAATTTCAATTCATATTGTAAGCCAGTTCAATTTGTATGCAGTTCATCTCCTGCAACATTTAGTGAGTTAAATATTTAATGAATTTGGTTCTATAAAGAGGGAAATGACTGGCAAAAAAATGGTTTCAGAGCAGTGCTGAGGAAGTCCTGTTTAAGAAGCCAAAATAGGTATCTTGGGGTTTACAAACCCCCCAAAATACATTAACAAATCTTGATGCATTCTCACCTTTTTGTGTGGCACCCAATACTCCAGTACTGACAATAGTAATGATACCCAAAGGGGTTGTCTTCCTACTCTAACATACTGATTTCTGGAACGTGTTTCTAGCATACCCACAAACACGCATTTCTTTCAGCTACTGCAGTTGATGAGGTTTCAAAATACCCATTTGTGAGATGCATTTGTTAAATTTCAGCTTTAATGATCGCTTTATAAGGAAAATCCTTTCCACGTCATTTCTGCAAAAACATACAATCTGTAACGAGAGTGAGGCTGCAGAAAGCAAGCAGCCTCACCAGTAAGCATCAAACCCATTTTGTTTCCTGAATCTGGGCTTGCTGGGTTAGCTTTTCTCTAAGATGGAGTGGTCATCAGTTTGCCATGAGCACGCAGACGGTGGAAGTGTCTGACAGTGCAAGGCAAGCACCCCGAGTTCGGCAGAATAAAATCCAGCTAAACCTAGAGAAAAGCAGTCCTTGTTGTAAGAGGCTTTTTGCAAGCTCGTATGTTACAGGCATATTTTCTTGCAGCAGTCAAGACAAACGTAAGGCAGCATTATAAAATGATGTGCACCTACCTCTTGTCTGTAAGGATGCTGAGCGGGCGCCGTGCCGTTCCGTTTTAATGCAGCCTATGGCACAGCTAAGATGGAGCTGTGCTGCGATTGGCCGGCGTGCGGTGCTGCTGACAACTTCCTTTATGCTCATTTCCATCTCCCCTTCACCCCCAGCAGGAAATCATTCACAAATATGACTCTTACTGCCTGGATTGAGAAAGCCACTCCTCTCATTTTTGGGGTGTGCATGATGAGCTTGTTAGCCAAGGGGTGCACGGCAGCGGCCCTGAGCTATCTGCTTTGCACTGGGACTCAGGCTGTGACGTTTGGGGTGTTCCTCCCTGCAGGGCCAGCCTGGCAGCAGGGGAATGACGTGTCAGGGACTGCAGGCAGGCAGATTGAACAAGATAATCTTCGAGAGTCAATTGGCAAAACAAATATGCAGTAAGTCATCTTAGCTGTAGCCCAGCCCTGATCTTTGTTTTAGACACTGCCCATCTCTCATTATGCATATGATTTTACAGCGCTTCCTGCAAAGCAATTGATTTTTTGAGTGCAAAATGAGATCCCGTGGAGGAAAATCTTAATAGGTGGGGTTTGTAGGGTGGGCTGGCTTTTGCTGTTTCTCTCTTAATTTAGTAACCAGAATAGAATGTTCTTACGTAGCAGGAGTTCTGCTGGTTATCCTGTGTGAATTTTAGAATTGGTATGTGTAAAAATGGTACTGTGTAAAGCCTTTAATAAAATGTCATAGAATTGCTTCAGAATTTGCAATTGAGTTTTGGGTTTGGATTTACCATCTCTCCACATTGACACCAGTTACTGTATCAGTCTTTACAGTAATTACTGAAAGCAGGTTTATTTGACTGAACCCCAGGTTCCCACTTTGTGTTGCCTTTCATTAGTGACTTACAGATCAACTTAAGAAGTAAGCTGAGATGCAGGGGGAGAGACATTAACAGAATTTAGCTGAGCCACAACGATTTTGGAAGTTTAATTTGCAGTTTCCCATGAGAAACTTAGCAAGGACTAAGTTAAACTTAAACCTAGGGAACATGACCATTTCTACCTGGTGCATTTGGCAGTACTTCTCAGAGCACGAGTCCCTGAGCTCTTCCTCTCCTTGTTGCCACTCCCGTGCGTGCCTTCCAGTTGCCCAGCATGGCAAAGCCTTCACTCAGCAGTTCTGCAGCCTCTCCTGCAATTGAGGCACTTCCATTGCTCTTTCCTGTCCCTGCGCTCATTTTTTACAGAAACAATAGGAACAGATGCAGGTACAGATTTTGAAATTTACAGTGGATTAAAAATAAAGAATAAAAAAAAATCCACAAACATGATGACAACGAGGGGAATTTTGCTTTTTTGGAGAAGTTAAGGTTCTGAAAAACTATTATTGTTAGGTTTGAGCAACATTACACTGGTATTGACCCCTTGGCTTCTGGTAGCAGTTTGTGGATGTTTCTATTTAATGTACTGCATTGTGCAGTTAATACAGTGTCATTAACTCAACCTTATGAGAATGTTGAAACAAATTTTGTGCCGTAACAGACCTCGTGGTACCTGAATGCAGAAGCAGGCTTAGCAGCAGTGGTTGTGTGAGCAGTGCAACACACTGATCGATGATCTTGAATTTATGATTTCTTTGTGATAAACTCTGTGCTAGGGTTACTTTTCAAACAACTGAAGAAAAAGCAAAACCACCCACCCAAGCCCAGCACAGTAAGTATAACCTTACTTTACTGGGTGAGTGTTAACTGAAATAAGTGAAACTTTCTGCTCCTGGCTCAGCAGTATGGAGCAGTCGGTAGGGAAAATCACTTTGAGTGTGCCAGTTTTATGGTGTAATACTGCAGTTTAATGCTGCAGCTGCTTGCTCTTTTCTTAGAGCTCATGTCCCAATATCTGTATGGATACTGAGTTCTGCTCAGAAGCATTCTAGAGCCAGCAGGTAGCTGTGTGTCTGAATCCCCATACTTACACACAGAGTGCATTGGGAGCGACTGCTCCCAAAACGTGTTTCTATTGTTGGCTGTAGAATTAGTTTTGACAAGGGTTGTTGAAAGCATTGTTTATTTGTTTATTTTCTCCTTTCGTAGATCACAGCAATGGCTCATTTAATTTGAAAGCCCTTTCAGGAAGCTCTGGCTACAAGTTTGGAGTCCTTGCAAAAATAGTGAATTACATGAAGGTACGGTGGTTTCATGTAAACGTATAATGTTTGGAAATGCTTCAGTTAATTTTTCTCTGTGGTAGCAAAAAGATGCTGAATATTTCAGGCCTTAAGATTTCTTTACTGTGCAAGAGGAAGAATTTCAAGAAACTAGGCTGTTAAATTTAAAATGCTGTCAGTAAACAAAGGGCCCATTATTTGCTTCATTTCTGGAATCCCAGTTATTCCAGGTCTGCTTAAAACCAGGAGAATGGTTTTTGTTTGCATTAGAAATAGGAATTTGAAGATGCTATCAGCTTTCAGGATTCATGAGCTGTTTTTCAAAATAACTTGTCACTTGGCGCTTGACAGATAATTCTGTCATTTATCTCAGCTGGCACAAACTGATTTTGCTCCTCATCATCGAAGACCTAACGTTGGTACTCATATGCTACGTGTGTTGTGTCGCTCTTGGTTTTACGGAAATTTTTCTGTCATCACTTTCTGCCAGTTTGCGTTACTCTCCGGTAACTGAGCTGCTGAATAAAGAACTACAGAACACTGATTGCTCCTCTTTATTCTTCCAGACTCGGCACCAGCGTGGTGATACACATCCCTTAACTCTAGAAGAGATTTTGGATGAAACGCAGCATTTAGATATTGGACTCAAACAAAAGCAGTGGTTAATGAATGAGGTAAAGAAAAGCTTTTGGTTAAAGATTGAAGGATTGAACCTCAACTATATATTTAATTGCAGACACTATAAATATTGAAGTTCTGCTTCTGAAAAGCTGCATTGGTTCATGTTTCTGTCTTGTGCCACCTGCTATAGCAATTACTGAAATGAAAGCTATTCTGACATTTTTAAGGATCAATTACTGTTACTACAGTTAAGAGTAAGTTGTATGTCAAGTGAATTTTTTCATTGCTAGTTTCCATTCTTACAGTGTCACTGCAACTTGCTGCTGTGTTCATCTTTATGCTTTATCTATCCAAATGTCTTCATGGCACTGCAAGACTAGTAAATCAACAAAATCCTATATTTGGTATTTATACCTTATCAAGATCTCGTTTTGCTGGTATCGTACTTAGAATCCTTGCAACAAAGTAGTAAAAGCTGTTGATACATGCTGGGGGGGATCTCTGTAGTAAAAGTAGGATGTTTCTAATTATGTTTTTAATTAATACTAATATTCTGGAGAACAGAAAACTGGCAATGCTGCTGTTATGAAAACTTGGCTCCACTGAAAGCTTTGAAGAGTAGCTCCAGGTTGTTTCCATAACAAATCAGAATTTTGAGACTGAACCAAAAAGCTCATGTAAAATTATCACTGAGTTGGTAACCTGTGATGATACTGCATGCACAGCAAAACTGATTTGGACCAGATCTTAAGTCATTTCAGTTGTCCATGAGTTTCTGGTCAGCTTTACTCTGAAGCAGCATCGTAAGTAAAATCCTACTGTGCAGCATGTCTGCTCTTCTCAGTTTCTGCTACAGCTGCTGGTGCCAATTGGCAGCAGTTGGGGAAGTCTGACTCGTGTTTTGTTCATGCCAGGATAATGCCTTTCACATTCGTAACATCCATACAACCCAAGTTTGAACTGCCAAGTTGTCTATTGGCACTTTATGTTCAACCAAAGCACACTTTTTCTTGTGTTCCACTTTTTTTTTTTTGTATCATCATGCCTTTCTCAAAAAGGAACACATGCGCGTGTGAGACTTGAAGCTCCTTCCTGCCCAAAGGCATCAAGTGAACGATGCTAAGCATTTGGTGCTTTGTGCTGTATGTCGCTGTGAGTTAAGCCTAGGCTGGATCTGAGATCCAATGACTTGAAGTTTGTTTCAAATTCAGACCTCCAAACTGTCAGTGATAACCACGTGGCTGACGTACTGTAGCTCGTGAAGTACTAGTTTGTTCTCTTTGTGAAGGTTCGTAATTTATATTCCTGTTACAGGCTCTAGTCAACAATCCTAAAATAGAAGTTATAGACGGGAAGTTTGCTTTCAAACCCAAGTACAACTTGAAAGATAAAAAGGCTCTGCTCAGGCTCCTGGACAAGCACGACCAGCAAGGGCTGGGAGGAATCTTTTTAGAAGAAATTGAGGAAGGGCTACCCAATGCACATAAAGCTATAAAGGTGAGTCATGCCTGTCTGGGCTTCAGCAAAACTCTTCTGGGTAAGTTCTCAAAGGGGAAGTAAAAGCTATGAGAGAATTTTTTCAGAGTTCTTTTTGTTCATTTGGAGACTCAAGGTCTGGTTTAGTACCTTTTCCTGTGTATCATCCTTTACGTTTACAATTGACCTGACATCTCAGCACAGCTGTCAAAGCTTTCTCACAAAAGGTGCTTTATGTATTATGTTGCAACTGAAGGCATTTAATTGTGCTTTTATACCTTGATCTTGGCCCTCGGTCTCTCTTCTTCATTTTATTAGTGCATTTATTGATGGTGTCCACTTTCGATGCTTCTTTTTGTTGCTTGTTACTTCGCTGCTCTCCGATTCATTGATCTCTTTGTGGAACAGGATCTGGGTCTGTTATTCTGAAAGTAGAACTGATTTGAGATTTTTTTCTTTTGCATTTCTTTTCAAGGCTTTAGGGGACCAAATTCTCTTTGTTACCCGCCCTGATAAGAGGCAACTTCTTTACTACAATGACAAGAGCTGTCATTTCTCTGTGGACGAAGGTAAGTGTTTATTTACATCTGTATTCATGGTTTAAATTCAATGTAGACAATTGAATGTCTTTTAACGTGATAAGAAAATACTGGTATATCTAGGTTCTGTCAGCAGAATGACATGTAGTAACGTGATGATAAGAACACTAGCAAACAAGTTCAGGGATAATAACCTCTGTTATCTATTAGATGCATTGGTACATGGCATCAGGAACCCAACAATTCAAGTATAGTAGAACAGACAAGAGGAAGAGTTGCCCATCTGTGGCTTAGATGACATCTAACATTTTCCTGTATAAAGGCAGATGAAGAACAATGAAATTTCTTGGTTTGCATGCTGCTTTTTTACCCAGCTTTTTCCCAGTCATGTACTTCTGTTGGCAAATGCAATGAGGAACCACAAGTTGAAGAGAAGGAACAAATAGACAGGGAGGAGATGTGAGCAAAACTACTAGGAAGATGTGGTTTACAACTGGGAGGGCAACC